CAAATACCCTTAGGTTAACATAGGATAAAAGGTCAAGACCAACAACCAACTGATTCAATCCATCCAAGTACGCTGGGCGTACTTAACTGTACGCGGACCATACTCCTCTTGACCAAGAAGTCAAGGATTTGACCGCGTACGCGCACTGTAAAATTTGGTACACCCAACATACACATCTAGTCACCTTAAATTCTTATTAAGAGCTTAATACATCAAGTCCTTACGTCCAAATCCATATTAAAGCCCAAAATATCATTATAATTCATAACGTTTCCAATTTTATGACATTACATGCCTAGAAGTGCTTAATACCAATAAACCCTAACTTCTTAATCCATTAGTACATCCTAACACATGCATGTGGAAGAACTAAGAACATAGATCATATTTTTATGCTTTTACATATCTTAAAACGTTTGAAAGGAGTGTGTATACGGGTTAGAGAATGTCATACTCATGGGGAAGAACTAACAACAAAGATCTTATTTTTATGCTTCTAGACATCTCAAAACCCTAACTTCTCCCATGTGAATAGGGATCAGAACAATCGGGTAAGGCACCCCATAAATCTCCAAGACACAATCCCATAAAACACTTGATGTAGAGATCCTATGTTCGTTGGCTATAGAAACCTGCAACGGACACTCTAACTCTCCAGGAGTCATAGCAAACCCCTACTAAAAGACAAATATATAAAGGAATCACTCGCACCCGAGTCAAATAACAAACGAGCAGGAAAGGAATTCACTAAGAAGGTAGCTATCAAAATTATAAACACAAGCATACCATAAAATAACTTACAAATGATAAAAAGAAACATGCCAGTAAGGCGTCCCAGATAAACTGAAGGCCAATAGGGTGTACCAGTCAGGCTGAAGGCCCGGAGAATGTTCCAGATGGGCTGAAGGCCCGGTGAGGTGTACCAGTCATTCTGAAGGTTCTGTTAGCATACCGGATAGACTATAGGCCGTAGGGGCGTTCCAGTCAGATTGAAGGCTCCGTGGACGTACCATATGGACTGTAGGTCGGTGGGGAGTTCTAGTCATGCTGAAGGCCTTGTATACATGTTGTTGTTGTATATGTGTTTTTTTTTTTTTTTGTGTGTTGGTACTTTGGGGGAACTCACTAAGCTTCGTGCTTACAGTTTTGGTTTATGGTTTCAGTTACTTCAATGGTACTTCATAGGTTTATTATATGGTGTTAGGAAGTAAAGCGGATAACTTGCAAAACTAAAAGCACACAAGACACAATATTTAACTGATTTGGTCAAGTTAACTTACGTCTACAGGAAGGAGGGGTTATTCTTTATTTCTGAGTTCTCAAACAGAGGTTACAAGTACAATTTTCATAGAGAGTCACCTAACACTCTAGAATTCAAGAAACAAAATGATTTAGCATGCATCCATACTTATATATGAGGGATCAGACCTAATACCATAATGGGCCAAGCCTCTTGGCCCATAGGCCCATGAAAGGCGTCAACCAATCACAATTCGCCATACAACATCTTCTAGAACATTCATCATTACATGAGTATCAGTAATACACATGATGGAGCATCATGATCTGTAGTGGCATATCATTATGGAAGAGTGACACATCAAAATCACCATGGCATATAAACCATCATGGTGACACGTCAAGCAATAATCCTTGAGCATCTTCAACTTTTGAGATTTCTTGAATAATCTTGAGCATCATAGGGGAGTTCATAGCATACAAATCATCAAGGAACATAAGTGGCGCATCCTTGCAACAAGATGGCACATCAACATGAGAATGACGCTTCTTCTCAAGGGATGGCGCTTCCTCCTTATAAGTGGTGCTTCTAGAACCATATTTGCGCTTCTACCTTCAAAGTGGCATTCCTTCCTCCAGAATGGCACTTCCACCTCCAAAATGATGCTTCTAGAACCATAGTGGCACTTCTACCTTCAAAACGACGCTTCTTCCTCCAGAATGGCATATCTAGACAATGAGTGGAACTTCCACATTAGGATGTCGCTTCTACATCTATAATGACACTTCTGGAATGGTGCTTTAAGTATAGATGGCCCATCCTAGCACCAGGATGCTCTATTCCACTTCCAGGTGCTCCATACCCCCTTTTAGAAGATCTGTTCCTTTATCACATGCTCCTTGAAACCCAAGTGCTCCATTGAGTTCCAAGTGCTCCAAATGTTCCATGTGAATGCTCCAAATGCTCGAGTTGTATTTAACATATGGGTTCAATGATCATTCTATTATTGAAAATGGGATTATGTAATTAGTTTTTAGGGTCCCTATTGTAGTAGATAACAAGAGGAGCAGATCAAAAATTTTATATTATATATTGAATGTGCACAAAGATTCACCGGTTCTTGAGCAATATAAGGCATGGATGGAACTTTCAGCTTAGCAGATTCCTACCTACCAAACCTTAAACCCATCTGATGGGACTAAAAGCCACACGCCTTTATATTGAGCTGGTAATAAAGTTTGCTACTCAACCGAAGAAAAAAAATGCATGGTCCTTAAGAAAAAAATTATCTCAAGGCGATGGTGAAAAGAAACCCTATTTGCCACATATGCATAAATATTGCCACAAAAATCTCATACATTACATGAATTGTCAACATCTCAGGTTTGAATTTAAAATTTGACCCAAAAAAGGATAGTAAAAAAAACCATTGTTGCTCGAATTTTCGTTGGAAAAAGTTTTTGCAGGTTCCACCGATTGCGATAGACATCGTTGTTGCTAAATAAGCTTCAACCTAGTCCGAGTAGATTGTTTTATTACACGGGTTAATTAAAAAAAAATAATGAATATGTTTGTACTTTAAGTAATAAAACAATATTATTTCAAAATATTTCTTCAATATTAGGGGTTCATTTGTAATTTTAATAATTTTTAATAACACAACATACATATAAAAAAAAGCACAAAGAAAAAAAAAATACTTGGTTTCAATAGAAAATAGAGAAAATATGTTTTGTTTTGTGGCCACTAATTTTATCGTTTTTATAGAATAACTAACTTTTATAATTAAACAAATCATTCATAATAAACAATATTTACAGATTATTTTATTTATAATTTATTTTTAACAATTTATACCACAAACATGTAATAATTAAAAATTGAAAAAAGAAGAAGATTATTTTGTCATTTAACATCGATATATTTCAAATTCTCTACAAATCAAACAAAATTTTTAATAGAAATGATTTCAATTTTATATACATGTTAAAAACAATGGGCCACCTAAAAACATTCATAAGTAAAAGTTGAATTTATATGCTTAACATAACGAACGAGACAACCTTGTATACATGTTTAAAACAATGCACCACCTAAAACTATTCAATTTGAAAATGAACATATTTTATACCATTTGGAAAAGAATGAAAATGTATTGAAAAAATAAAAATCGTGTTGCCCATAATCGTTGAACATATTCAATACCATTTTAAGGAGAATTTCTCCCTTAAACAAAATTCAATCAAGAACCAAAATACAAAAGGAGGACTCAAACAGAGTAGTATAAAAAGGATCGGGCCCCACCGGTTTAGAGGGCACAAAGTAAATCGGTTTTTTAACTCGCCCTACAAAACTGAAACTGATTTTTTTTACTAGTTTTTAAACCGTAACCAAACCGATTTTTAACGCAATTTCACATTCCTAAACAAACAAACCGATTAAAACCGACACTTGTCCAGAGAAAACCAGTTCAAAGTCTGTATATGTTATGCGCACCTCTACACTGGTTATACAGTTTTTGGAGCAAGCCCAAAACCTGTCATTAGTGGCCTAGTTAAGACATTTCGGTTGGGCTCATGAACCGTTTTGTGCACCTCTAGGACTAAGAGGACCATTTTAGAAAAATAAGCCATGTCATGATATTGATACATTGGAATATTAATAGATACATTCTTTCGTTACAGTCATATTCGCAAGACTACAAAACCTACAAATAAGCTAAATGCTTTTCTTTTCTATAGGCTGGAATGAATGTATCTCAAAATATTAATAAACACAAAATCAAGAATCAAACAGAAGGAAAGTACTTAGAAAGTCGATAAGGAAGGGAATAGAATTCAGAACTCCTCACATCTCTTTCAAAGTACTTAAATTTTCCCCACCAATGTCTTCCTCCATCTGTTCTTACATCTTTGTGATTATAACCCAGAGTCCTGTCAAGAAACATACCCACAATAGCCGCCACTGTTGCTGGGGATGTGAATATCACCAACATCGCTTCATTTTTTATTTTTTTTTTAAATTGAATGATTGAAAAAAATCAATTTTAATTTTTTTTATAGAAAATAAAAACGGGAGTGAACTTTTTTTTGTTATGTACCCAAGTGGATCTACTGTGAACAGGCCCGCTCCAGTTGCTACCACGTAGTCGTTGAAATATCGTGGGACAGAAAGACCCATGAAGAGTAAGAAACCCAAGATAAACTTTGTTCGATAACGGTTAACGTAGCAATATTGTAGTAAACCTAGACCGGCAGAAGGTGCAATTTTTGTCTCACTGACATCAATCTCTCATTACAGTACATAGTAAAGAAAAAAGAAAGTACGATCTGTTATGTCATGTCACGATACAGATATTTAAAAATCTATGTATTGTGGTTTTTGTTGGATGAAGGAAGTGTTGAAGATCAAGAATTATACTTACACATGTAGGCAAACAAGACACAATATAGATCTCCAATGATTGGTAAAGGCATGGAAGCTACAATCGCGCCAAAATTTCCTGGTTAAAATCAAGAGAATTACATTAAAATTGTTAAAAGTAATGGAGTTATTGGAGCATGATAACTTTATAGGTGCAAATATTAATTGATAGAGGTAAAAATCAAATACCTAACATAGGTTATATAGCTAGTATTAGCAAGTATAGAAGTTTCTACTGCGTGAATATCGATGTTGACAATGATTTTGAAAACCACCCTCAAAATCAGCAGGATGTTTCGAAAACACCCACAATAATAAAATACCAATAAAATTTTAGAAAATATTTACATCCATTCATCATCTCCTTCGATCATATTCAGTATGAGCTACACCAATCAAAGCCAGCCTCCTGACACCGCTGCCGGGCCTCCTCCACCACCACAAGGTTTCGTTTTTTGTTAACAATTTGTGGGATTTGGATTTTTTTATAAAGATAAATATAGGAAATAATGATAGATCACTGATATTGTATTATAGGTTATCCGTCGGAAGGACAAATTAAAGAGATATACCCATCACAAGGATACGGATATCAAGGATATCCGCCACAAGGATACCCACTGCAAGGGTATTCACATCACGGGTACCCATCCCATGGTTACCCTCCACAAGGGTACCCACAACAAGGATATCCACATCATGGATACCCTCCACAAGGATACTCACATCATGGGTATCCACAACAGTATGCCATTCATTATGTTCCTCCTCATCAACCCCCGCAAGGCAGCGGTTTCGCGGAAGGCTGGTAATTACTAATTAGTTCTATTTCTCTTTCTTAGATCTATTTCAATTTAGAAATATGAATTATAAAAAATATTACGTCAAAGTAAATGCGAATAATTTTACAAAATTTGATATGATAATAAGTCTTGCAAATTATGCCTGAATTTAGAATGGAGAAACAATGTCTCGATCCTCCATTGACCCAACCAACAAGATTTATGTTTGTGTTAGCATTTACTTGTGGTTTCGTTGGTTATACACTTTTTGTGCCTATTTTTTGTTGAATCGGTTGAAAATCGTTTAAAAGGTATTTGAAAGTATATAACTTCTTAAATAAGTTTGTTTATAAATAAGATTATATTAATCGTAGTAATGTTTTTTATGTAATCAAATTTATCATAGTAATACTTTACTTACATTATATGAATGCTTTGTGAGATATAGTATTGTTGTTAATGATGATATTTTTGTGCAGTTTAGCTGCCCTATGTTGTTGTTGTCTTTTGGATGCATGCTTTTGAAGAAGCTCACGAGTTGCAGATTTCTTTACCTTTTGATTTTGTTGTAGGAAATAACTTGGACTTACAAATAAAAACGTGTATTGGTTTTCTTTAAAATGATCGTTTAGGTCGATAGATTGTGAGAGATCATTCATTTATCTGGTTTATATGAAAACGATGTTTGTAGAACCCTGATAGTCAGTCTATTGTGATATTGTATGGCCTATATTATTTTTTGCAACATGAAGGTCAATTGTGAATAAGGCATATCCTAACCAAGATTTTACCATGACACACACATGATTAACATGATATAAACTAAAAAGTTCATTTGAAAAAGTACAATTTCATTAGATATTAGAGACATATTACATTATATAATAGTTATTTATGAGTGTTCCCTTTATAGAACCATTCGTTAGATCTACATTCATAATATTGACAATCATTATTCACGACACAGATTAGACATGCACTCAAAATATCATCACAAATTGGCTAGCTTCAATAATTAATAGATGAAAGAAAGCTCAAGATCGTTCATTTTTTCCACAATCACTCTAATTAAGTCGAGTACATCATTCAAGTTAAGGAATTTTCGATCTTGCCAATTGAAAAGGTAAAGACTTGCATGAAAATATAAAGGTCAAGTCAACGTAGTGGTTAACCAAGCCGGTCATCTTTGACCACAAGTTGACTATGTGGATAATGTAACCACTAAAAAATCACAACAAATTTAAACATTTAAAAACAACCTATAGCCATCAATTGTTTACAAAATCATTGTTTCCAAATTATTTATCAACATCAGAGTATCCCAAAATCATAAAGCCATAAACGGAGGATGTGTACGGTCACACCTTCTTCTTCCAACGATCATTAGAATTACCTAAAACAATAAACTAAAACTGTAAGCCAAAGCTTAGTAAGTTTCCCAAAGTACCACCACATACAACATATCGTACAACAAAATTCATAACTGAGCCATCAGTCTGATTGGACTGCCTCATAGGGCCTACATCCTATTTGGACCACTCCCAAGCTTTCTGCGTAATTGGACCAGCTCGCAGGGCCTACAGCCTATCCAGATCGCTCGTCGAGCCTTAGGCCTAACTGGACCACCTCGCAGGGCCTACAGTCTATCCAGACCGCCCTGGGTATCTTGTCCTTCGGCACAAAGTAGGACCACCTCAACCCAACCAACCATAACATGTTAACATACATGTAACAGATAAACATATAACCAAACATCAGATAAACAGGCAGATTTACAGATCACTACCACATGCTAACATCCTATATATAAGAATATCGATCTTACAGATCTCTACAACATAAGAACATACTATCATATAACAAGACATCCAATCCACTGGGTCGGCCTTGGTGCCTGCGACCCGTAAGTATAGTGAGGAAGACTCGCCTCACCGCTTGATGAAGAAAACTAATTAATACTCTATCCCTGAATACCGGCTCCACCCAAGTCATAAATGTTCATACATTTCCCATTAATAAAGTATTCACATTTTCCTAAATTACTCTTGGTCAACTTGGTCATCCAAGTCGAGTCAACCCGACCGAGTCGACACAGAATGCGTACGCGGGGCGTGCTCCATGGTATGTCGGGTGTACTCAAGTCTCGACCGCAATCGGTATGGTTGACCGTGTACGCGCTGTGTACTCCAGGTTACGCAGGGCGTACGCCCAGACTTCCCAGGTCTTCATTAAGAGCTTAATACCTTAATCCCTCACATCCATCTTTCAGATCCAAGGCCAAAATACTTCTAGGAGTCATAAAGTTTCCAACTTTATGACTTTGCAGGCCCATTAAGTGCTTAACTCAACATCTTAATGCATTAAGACATTCTAAAGAGTGAAGGAAGCAATGCCAACCATCAAGACCACATTATTATGATTCAAGACCCATCCTAAGGTCTGAAAAGACGACTTAATGGGTAAAGAACATGCCATGCTCAAGAATCACCATTTGTGGGACAAAAATTGCTTAAAGAAGTGAAATGTCTAGATCTACAAGATGGAGTGATCAAGATGCAAACTTTTACCTTCTAGAGCTTGCTAACAAGGAGAAAATCTCAAATCCAAGGTGATTCCCAAACTCCAATCTCTTCCCACCACTCACTTCTTCTTCAAGAACACTTCTAACACTCCAAAGACTCCAAAAATTCACTCTTTCACTTAGGGTTTGCTTGGGGGTCAATTCTCATAAAGGGAGGTTGAATACGAATGAGATGTGAGACTATAATGAGGTTTAAATATGAAACGAACTTTAAAAATTAGGGTTTGCATGATCCCCACGTATGCCCCGCATACTAGGGCGCGTCTTAGTACACCTAGCGTACACATTGTACGCTCAACATACAACACAATGGCCAAAATTACCATATTGCCACTATGGGCTATTTGAAAATCTTTTTCAATACCAAGGGCCAAGATGCAATGTTATTTAAACATAGGGTCAACATTGGAAGTACCTTGACATCGGGATGTTACAATTCTCCCCCACTTGAACTAGAATTCGTCCTTGAAGTTGTCTGTGGCGAACAACTCAGGGTAATGCTCTTGTATCTCAACCTTTGGCTCCCAGGTCCACCCGGAGCCTCTGTGATGCTACCACTGAACCTTTACCAAAGGTATCTCCTTGTTGCGTAGGACCTTCACCTTTCTTTCCAAAATAGCCACCGGCCTCTCGATATAATTTAGGCGTGCATCAACCTGAATATTGTCCAAAGGAACCAATGTATCATTGTTCAACACATATTTCCGCAACTGAGATACGTGGAAAGTGTTGTGGATTTGACTAAGCTCACTCGGCAAATCCAAATGGTAGGCCACCCTGCCTACCCTGAAGATTACACAGAACGACCCAATATATCGGGGGGTCAATTTCCCCCTCTTCCTGAAGCGAATCACACCCTTCCAAGGTGAGACTTTCAGTAATACCATATCGTCGACCTAAAATTCTAACTCTGATCGGCGTCGGTCGACATAACTCTTCTACCGACTCTAATATGTTTGCAGTCTCTACCTAATCTGTTGAATAAGCTCCATTGTCTGAAGGACCACTTTTGGTCCTTCCTATGACCTTGTGACCAACCTCTCCCCAACATACCGAGGAACGACATCTCCAATCATACAAGAGCTCAAAAGGAAGGGGCACCAATGCTGGAGTGATAGTTGTTGTGGTAAGAAAACTCCGCAAGAGGTAGGTATTTATCTCAACTCCCACCAAAATCTTTAACACAAGCCTGAAACATATCCTCAAGGGTCTAGATGGCCCGCTCACTCTGACCGTCAGTCTGTGGATGATAAGCGAGTAGAAATGTAGTCGCGTGACCAATTCCTTGTGGAACTTCTGCCACAAATGAGAAGTGAACCAAACATATCGGTCTGAAACGATGGCGACCGAAACTCCATGACGATCAACAATCTCCTGGACATATACATCGGCCAACTTTTCGGCCGAATTGCTCTCCTAGATGGCCAAAAAGTGGGCGCTATTGGTTACTCCATCCACGATAACCCACATAGCATTAAAACCCTTGGTTTTCTTTGGAAACTTGGTGATAAAGTCCATGGTGATATGTACTCATTTCCACATGGGGACCTCCAAGGGCTACAGCTTCCAGTGATGCCTCTGATGCTCGCCCTTGACCGTCCTACAAGTCAAGCGCCTCCCGACATACCAGACTATCTCACTCTGCATACACTTCCACCATTAGATCAATCTCAAATCCCAATACATCTTGGCGGCTCCTGAGTGTATAGAAAAATGAGACTTATGAGCCTCCTCCAACACTATCTGTCTAATCCCACCAAAAATTGGAACCTAAACCCAACCTCACTAGGTCATAACCCCCGACTATTGGTGTCAAACATGTCTCTCGCCCCTGATCCTCTCCTGTTTCCATTTCTCCTTCCGAACTCCCTCTGCATGTGCCTTTCTGATCAAACCCAAAAGCAGAGAATCAATAGATATCCTCATACATATCTCCCCAACTAAAGATCCAGTCGATTTGCGGCTCAAAGCATTCGATACCACATTTACTTTACCTGGATGGTAAAGGATCTCGCAGTCATAATCCTTGACCACGTCCAGCCACGTGCGCTACCTCATGTTCAAGTTCGGTTGATCCATAAAATATCTCAAATTCTTGTGATTTGTTTATACACTACAATGGACACCATAAAGGTAATGTCTCCAAATCTTGAGGGAAAACACAACTGCCACCAACTCCAAGACATGAGTAGGATATTGTGCCTCATGCAGCTTCAGCTATCGTGAAGCATAAGCAACCACTTGTCCCTTATGCATAAGGACTGCCCCCAAACCAGTGATGGATGCATCACAGAATACCATGAATTCCTCAACACCTGACTATTAGTGACAAACCTGTCGATCTCGCCCCTGATCCTCTCATGTTTCCATTTCTCCTTCCGAACTCCCTCTGCCTGTTCCTTTCTGATCAAACCCAAAAGCAGAGAATCAACAAATATCCTCATACATATATCCCCCAACTAAAGATCCAGCCGATTTGCGGCTCAAAGCATTTGATACAACATTCACTTTACCCGGATGGTAAAGGATCTCACGGCCATAATCCTTGACCATGTCCAGCCACCCGCACCGCCTCATGTTCATGTTCGGTTAATCCATAAAATATCTCGAACTTTTGTGATTTGTTTATACAGTACAATGGACTCCATAAAGATATTGTTTCCAAATCTTGAGGGCAAACACCACTGCCACCAACTCCAAGTCATTAGTAGGATATTGCGCCTCATGCAGCTTCAGCTGTCGTGAAGCATAAGCAACCACTTGTCCCTTATGCATAAGGGCCGCCCCCAAACCAATGATGGATGCATCACATAATACCATGAATTCCTTAACACCCTCTAGAATGGTCAATATCGGGGCCTCACATAACCTCTGTCGCAACATCTTAAAAACACCTTGCTGCTCCGGACCCCACCGGAAATCCACTCCCTTCCTCGTCAGACGAGTGAGGGGTATTGCGATCTTGGAGAAATCCTTAATGAATCTCCGATAATACCCTGCTAGACCTAAGAAACTCCATCTTGGAGGGAGATTTTGGAACCTCCTACTGCATCACAACCACAATCTTAGCCGGATCGACCAAAATCCCATCCTGGTTAACGATATGCCCTAAGAATTGGACCTCTTGTAACCAGAAGTCACACTTCGAGAACTTGGCATATAGTCGTTCCTGCCTCAATACCCC